GGCCGTGTGCATAAAAATGAAGCTCCACATGAACTAGAAACGGAATCCTCCTATGCTTGTTGGATCGCCTCCAAATTTTCTTAATGTGCTTCTATAAGTTTCCATAATGTGTAAGCACTATCAAAAGAATCAAGCTTGTTAGACATAGATGAAATCGAACGCATTATGTAAAAATTCTAACAAAAGCTTATTTATGGTAAACATACGATGATCATTTTTATTCCATTTGGATTTCTCTGAAGTGGGCACAACATAAGTATCATCTATAATTTCCCATAAATCGAAGTGTCTAGATCGAACAAAAAGTTTAAATCTAACACATCATTGAGCATAAGGGAAATTATCAAATCTAGGAGCAATATTGATGACATAGCCTAAACAAGGTGCACCGTACATATCCATAATATATATATGTGCAAGCAAGATAATAATAAAATCACAAAACTAGATTAGCACAAAAATAAGATAACTTGGATCTTTAACTCAAGGCGATTAGTCCTTAAATTAAAGAGCACAAAGTTCTTATACCAATTGTGGGACCCTAATGCCACAAGGAAAGAACCCTAGAGGAGGGGGGGGGGGGGGGGGTGAATAGGGTTTATACTAATCTAATCCGATTTAAATGCCAAGTAAAACTTATTCAAGAAATATTCTTGCAAGATAGATATACAATATGATATGAGCAAGAATATGCAATATGAACAAATGGATATATCCTAGCAATGAGATATATGATAAAATATATGCAAGGATATATAAATAATACAAGGGTAAATAATCTATAAACAAGATAAATAAGATAGTGTGCAATATAAACAATGAGCAATTGACAAAGCCGATATAATGATAAACACAAAAGAAAGTGCGCCAATGCAATCACAAACAAACGATATGTTCACGAGGTTTGGTCCCCATGGCCTACGTCCCCGCTCCTCACCTCGAGGAGATCTCCACTATCACAACCGGGTTTTCTACACTTACCCGAAAAATATTTACACATCACAATACGGTTTTCTAGCTAACCAAAAACTTTACAACACTCACAATGTAACTACACTAACTATCACCTCAAGTGTTGGTCTCTAGCCCGTGTCTCCCTCAAGTGTTAGAAATTACCACCTCTCTCTAGGCATTACCACCTACCCTACTCCTCTTGGGATGACCACGTCTCTCACCACATACTCCTCTCGGTATACAAGTGTATTACAAAGTGAACTTCACAATTAGGCACAAATACAAATAAATTTGTTCTCTATAATGGATGAGAACACAATGTAAGCTCATACTCTAAGTCACACAATTCCACAACCCAATTATACAATGTATGTAAATACAATAAGCTCAATGGTTGTGTGTGTAAACAAAGAGTAAATAAAATCAACTAAACTCAATATAAACACTAGCTTAATAAAATGATAATTAAACAATATAAATGTAAAGCTAGATTGAGTTTAGGGAAACTTTTCTATAAATAACAAGAGAGAGGGAGAAGAGTGAATGCTCAAACACCAAGGATGATCTCCACTTTGCTTTTGTGAAGTTGTTTTCACAAAACAAACTCTCAAACGCTTAAAAGCTTTTTAAACAAACACTAAACAAAACTTAAAATCTTATTAAAACTTTGTTAAAATATTCTCTTGGATGTATGAAATAGTTAATGTAAAGGGGGCATATATAGGCTTGAAGAAACCAGCCCAAGAATCCAACAAAATTCCATAAAAATATTAAAATAATCAAATCTGAAAACTATCCGTTACTATGCAACGACTCTCTGATAAGTCGACCTATGAGTCGACTTATGAGTCGACTTATATGAGTCGACTCAGCAGAAAAAAAATCATAATTCCACTGTACTTCGTGAGTCGACTTATGAGTCGACTCATGAGTCGAATAATGAGTCGACTAAACATGCACAGATATGAAATGCACAGAAAAACTTAACTTTAAACCATGTTTAAAAATATCAAATAAATTCTAAAAATTATGATAATTTGGGAGATAATTGTAGACATGATAATAAACATGCTACAAAAACTGGTTTTTAAAAAGGACCTCCCAAATGAAAAATATCATTATTTTACAAAATAGTCCAAAACATAAAAATGTTAACACATGAGTTTTGACATTTTAGCTTAACCACGTTTTGAAACATTACAAAATAATTTTGTAGACTTAATAAAAGATGTGTATGATTATTGTTAAGTCCATAAACTAAAAAAATAATATTTTCTCAAAATTGCATATTCTATGTAATATATTCTTAAACAAAATAGAGTATGAAACATATGAATATTCTATGTAATATATTCTTAAACAAAATAGAGTATGAAACATATGATTATATATATGAATGTAAATTTGTTTCATAGAGTATGAAACATATGATTATATATATGAATGTAAATTTGTTTCATGTCTATATAGTTAAACCAAAACATAATAATAAATATGTAATCTCATATTTATAAGCACGAAAACTTAAAACTATGTATGTATAGATATATAACTATATATATACATAGAAACATATATGTATATGTATGACTACATATACATAGAAATCAAAAACTAAAATATGTATATGTATGACTACATATATATATATATATATATATATATATATATATTATATGATTGAGCTTAAAGTACCAACACACATAATATAAACCTAAACTAATATTACCCAAGCTTGATCTTGATCTTCAATAAGCTTGACTTGGTACACATTACGGATGAAGCTAGAACTTGGATCTTGAACTTGAATTGCATAGGCTTCACCCACTATTCCGTCAACCTCCATTGGATATGATCGTTGAAGCGTAATTCCATCCATCCTCTAACATGTTATTTGTTTACAATAAATAGAATTATACAAATATTAGACAAACAACATTAGAAGTAAATTGTTTGTTAAATATCATCAAAACAAGAAGGACAACACCATATGCTAGTGTAGTGGGTAGCTTGATGTATGCGATGGTGTGTACGAGGCCAGATTTATCACATGCCGTGAGCATGTATCGAGGTACATGCACGACCCTAGGAAGGATCATTAGGAGGCCGTGAAGTGGATTCTATGGTATGTTAAAGGCATCATGGATGTTGGTCTGATTTTTCAAAAGAGTGAGAAGAATGGGCAGGATTGTATTGGCTACGTGGATTCAGATTATGCGGGGGATCTTGACAAGCGCCGGTCTTCTTCAGGATATGTTTTTACATTGGCAGGAGTACCTGTATGTTGGAGATGTATACTTTAGTCTACAGTGGCTCTCTCTACTACAGAGGCGGAGTATATGGCAGTGACTGAAGTAGTTAAGGAGGTTTTGTGGTTGCGTGGACTATTGGAGGACTTGGGGATTACACAGGAGACCCTTCGGGTATATTATGATAGCATATCGACTATCTATTTGGCAAAGAACCAGGTTTATCATGCACACATGAAATACATTGATATCAGATTCTACTTTGTTCGGGACATATTGGATGATGGTGACGTCATATTAGAGAAGGTCCACACGAAGGATAACTCTGTGGATGTGTTGACAGAGTTATTTCAGGTGTGAAATTTGATTATTGTTTGAAGCTATTGAACATTCTTCAGTATTAAGGGCCTTTGGAGGTCATTTGGGTGAACCACGTTCGGTTTGATTTCTTGGGCAAGAGCATACATAAGCAGTCTTGTTTGATGCAGCTGGTTAGATTTGTTATTTTTTATGGGGGGAGATTGTTTGAGCTCTTGTTTGGGTTCCCGACTTATTGTGGATTGAGTCAGTTGAAGTGGGTTGTTTTCACTTCGTCCTGGACGTAACAAGTGGGACATTTGGATGTTTTGATGAGAGCTCAGTTTTGATAGAAATGTTCGCCGATATGAAGAATTGAAGAAATGGCGAGCATAGCGACGAAGACCATAGGAAAAGACGAAGGAACATGTTTGGGTGCTGTGCGGTCGACCACGTGTAGTACGACGGTCTGTGCAAGAGGATGAGTTCTGTTCAGTATCAGGTCGCGGTCGATTGCGAGTGGCGCGGCGGTCGACCGCCAAAAGTCTAGAGACTCAGGAAAGTTTTTATCGTTTTTGCGGTTGACCGCGATGGGTATTGCGATCGACCGGCCAAACCCTGTAGGGTTTTGTAGTCTCAGTAGTTGGATCCGGTCGACCGCGAGTGGTTCTGCGGTCGACTGCAATGCCTATTTCGTTTCTGAGTTGATATATAAGTCTAATCCTAATTAATTAGGGTTAAGCAAGAACGTTTTGAGCAGTTTTTGAGAGGGGATTGCTGCATCCAATTGTTGGATATTTGTGAGAGATCTAGAGGCTTTGTTTTAGGGGTTATTTGGTGAGATCTGTAACCCTATTTGTATTCTCTTGATTTATAATAGTAAGAACTCCCCCCTCGCCCCGTGGACGTAGGTAACTTGCCGAACAACATAAAATTCGTTTGTCTTGCTGTGATATTGTGTTTGGCTTATTGGTGTGATTTATCTCGTTCTTGTTCGTGTGGTTTGGAGCTTCCGCCGCGCACATTAAATATAACTATTGGAGGTCTATCCGCAATCAACCAATACTGCAAGGCGGTCTGTTCACACTTAACCCATTTACGATTGACAACAATACTAGGTATAAATTCTCAATATATGGAAAATCTAACTTTCCTTGTGTGACATGACACAGTTTATATGTCTCATTCCATTTAAAAAGAATTTTCTTTCTTACAATATTACATTATATACGTAACCTTGAGCTATTAGCTTTCTCTTTTTGACTTAATATATTTTTCTATTCGCTTATCTAGACAGTTATTGTGGTCGTCAACATCTACCAGTAGACTAGAGTGCGTGCAGAAAATTCTAAGGCGTGAATACTAAAATTATTATCTTTATACTGATTGTGATGCGGCCAATAACTTTCGATTTTTTTTTAATACTCTGTGAAGACAGATCGATAAACCTTATTGTCACTACTTTTCAACGCTAGCTTTTGGTCCAGATTGAAACCTCTATAAGAACAAAAATAAGCAAACTGAACCTCCTCAAACAACCAGCACAAATTAATGGCCAGTTCAAACTTTGCTCTAAATCTTTCTTCTTTGTTCCTCTCAGTCACCATCTTCTTCTGTTTTTGCCTCTCCTCAGAGGCCAAATTCCCCTATGCTGAACACTGCAATGCAGTTGTACCCCAGCCAACCTCTTCAAGATTTTCCGTCGACACGAGCAGCTCTATTTATATCTCCGGGGGATACTTTTCCGGGCGAGGGAAATTCTCCAATGGAAAATTCAATTTTTACACCAACAACGTCTATCGGACCCAGACACCGGGGACTGTTTACATCACTGGCCGCCTTACCACGGGAAGCACGTCAAGTTATTCGACAAGAGTCGCCTCATTTAGTTTGGCACCGCACAGATTGTTGGAGAGTGCGGAGGTGGCAAATTTTCAGTTGTCTGGTTTCTGGTCCAAGCCCATGGAGAAGATTTGCATGACGGGCACTGGATCTCTCAGCCAAGAAAATGGTACTTCCTCCAAACTCTCTGCTATGTTCACCCTAGATTATCCCAAAGATTCAAATATATCTTACAGTATTGTTAGTGGGAAACTTGAAAGCCTGGATGATTCCAATAGCCCGAGTCATTTCGACAAAATTTCAGTTTTAGGCTATGCGCAGAACAATTATATCTATACCCAGATGTCTAGAGTTAGCGAAATTTGCTCTCGTGTAGAAGTCCCTAAACTTTCTCTCGGGCTTGAGACAACTTCTGACCTTCAAAATCTGTTGCCTGGAGAGTTTCAGTTGGAATATGAGAGAGGCTGCTCTGCTGAGAAATGCAGCCCATTCTCGACTGAATTCTTGCCTAGTTTCATGAATTTGAATGTAATTCATACTACAGAAGAGGGCAAAGTGCATATGTACATAGGTTTCTCTAACGGAAGTGCTCGTAGCTATGGTAACTTCTTGGTTCCTGGAAACTCGCTAGTTGCTGAGGGCTATTGGGATTTGGAGAAGAAGCTCCTCTGTCTACTGGCTTGCCCAGTAATAATAACAAAGGAAAATTCTAAAAATTCCTTTGTTGGTGATTGCACAATTGGATTGAGCTTCTGGTTTCCTGGGATATTTACAATTAAGGACCGAAGTAACATCGCTGGACGTATCTGGAGTCTCAAAGGAGATAGTGATCCTGGATATTTCGGTTCAATTTCATTTCGGAGCTTAGGAGGAAATATCGATGTCCTTCCTGGTGCCAAGTATGAGTATACTAAAACCCATTCCATGATGACGACTTGCAGCAGTACCAAAGTTGTAAATTATCGGAATGAGAGGTATCCAAATGAGAACTCCGTTGAAGACTTGAGATTTGATCTCTATGTGAGACCTGACAATGGAAGTTCGATGTGGGGTTACGCAACGCCTTTGTCTATTGGAGACAGATTTTATGGTTTTTCATTTTCCGGGATTTCTTCTGATGTATATTTTTTCGGCAAGAACCATAGCAGCAGCCAGAGTCTTTTGAATGTCAGCTATACAATAAGTTACAGATCCTATAATAGTTTGCGTACATATATCTCAGCGGAAGGGGTCTACAATTCTCGAACAGGCAAATTTTGCATGATTGGCTGTAAACTTCCGGAGGAGAGCTATGCTGAAGACTGTAAAATTCAAATTAGTATTCAGTTATCTCCACTAAAAATGAACAATGAAGAACATGTTATCAGGAATTCTAGTGGCAGTACTAGACATCTTAATGGGACTATTTGGAGCACAAGGAAAAAATCCGACCCTCTCTACTTCGGTCCTTTAGAAATCTCATCATATGGCATGTACAGTATAGAAGCTATGGAAACAGTCGCGAGAATGGATATGGAGATAATTATGGTAATAATCTCCCTCACGTTTTCATGTATTTTCAACGTGCTTCAGATATTTCACGTCAGAAAAAACCATGGTGTGCTCCCATCGATATCCATCACTATGCTTGTTGTTTTAACTCTAGGCCATATGGTCCCTCTAGTACTCAATTTTGAGTCCTTGTTCGTATTGAAGCAAAGAAGGAACAATGTTACGTTGAGTGGTGGATGGCTGGAAGTGAATGAGGTAATAGTAAGAGTGATGACCATGGTGGCTTTCCTGCTTCAGCTCCGTCTTCTTCAATTGGTTTGGACCGCTAGATCTTCAAATGAGAGCAAAACAGGAATTTGGATTGGCGAATGGAAAGTGCTACGATTCTGCCTTCCATTTTATTTGGCTGGTGGATTAATTGCTTGGTTCGTTCATTCGAAAACTTATGAAACTCAAGGAGGTAGGATGATATGGACTGCTCTGATATCTTATGTCGGCTTGATACTTGATGGCTTTCTCCTTCCTCAAATTATTGTCAACGTGATTTCGAACTCCAAAGATAAGGCACTCACTCCTATATTTTACATGGGAACTACCGCAGTTCATGCACTTCCTCATCTCTATGACGTTTATCGAGCTCACAACTATATGCCATACCTCAATTTCTCGTATATTTATGCTAGCCCCGATGGCGACTATTATTCCACTGTATCGGATATCATTATTCCTTTAGGAGGGGCATTCTTAACGACCCTCATTTTCTTACAACAAAAGTTCGGTGGTCGTTGCTTTCTTCCTCACAAATTTAGAAGGTTTACTGGATATGAGGCGGTCCCTGTTATTACTGCTTAGTCGCTCTGTGCGATATAAGTCTAGCTTTGCATCAGTGAATGAATAAGGTACCATCATTACTTTTTTTTTTCCTAATTCTCATGCATGTTGAATTATTTGATTATCATGCTACTGTTATTTTCAATTTGTTGAAGGGTTCCTGTGTAAATTTTCTGATGCAATAGTAGTTCCTGTACCTGATTTTCTCTTCCCTGAGCAACTATATTCAAGCGAATCATGTGATTGCAGAATTGTGCTTGATGATGCATCATCGACAAAATGTTTTAGCTTCACTCAAGCCTAACTGCAAAAATATGGAGTTTGGAAGTCGTTAGCCGCTATTTTGCAGTACTTCTTTATTTTGTTCTGGTTTATGTGTGCTAATAATACTTAGCACTTTGTTTCATTTTTTACTGTGTTTCTTTAGTTTGCGGACTAGAGTAACTTTCAAAAGTATGGTGCCTCTCTTCTACCTATGGATTTGTAGTCAGTCAAGTTTGTTTCCTTAAGACAATGTTATGATGTTATAATGGATATTAAGGGTTTAAAACCTCTCTGGCTATCTACTTATATACAAATTGTAGCAAATCTCACCTATTAAGTAATCAGATTGGTAACTTGACTACTTATAAATAGACAGATATAAGGCTTTACCGTGTCACATCGGAGATAGTCTGGAACTAAAATGATAGTAGAAACTAATAATTTTAGTGTCTTCGACCAAAATGAGGAATCAACACGAAGATAATATGTGAAGTCTTAGATTCTTCTGTGCTTGATTTTCTTATAAAAATTAATAGAATTCATGCCCTAGACAGTTTATATTGCTCAGAACAAAAACAAAATTTGACTTAATCCTAACTAAGGAGGCTTAACGAGAGCGGTAATATCAACGATATCATCCAAAGATACCTTGCAAAGGTGAAAATTTTGGAATCAAAATCTGATTCTTTCGTCAAATGAGTACTGACTTTTTGATTGATCCACATTGTAATCTCATTGTGCTTCATGTCCACTTCTTTTATCGTACCAATATGTTAGACAGTAGACTTGATGGCAAAGCACTCTAATCTCCACATATTTTTGTATAAACTTTAGTCTAATCTTATCTTACAATTTGCATACCTGCATTATATAGGTCTGGATTATTATGATTCATGACAATTTACATTTGGCTAAGGGAGAAAGTTTACTTTGTCTTGCAGGAGAATGGAGTGCTTGACCGTGAAGGAAGTTGTTTTATTTCTTTTGGACTTAAATATTTCGTCTATGTCGGTTTATCTTTTTCAGTGTTGGTCTTATGAAATGTTTGTTTTCAATCTGGTTATGATAGTCTAGATGTGCATTACTTTTTGCAGTTCTTGTTGTTCTTCAAGTCCGGATGCGGCTATCTTGTTTCAAGATGTACGCTTCGTTACTGATTACTTGTAGCTTTTTCATTGCATACGAGGGAACTTGATCAAGATGCATGATGTGTATACTCTTTTCAATTACCTCCAATTTCATGTATAATTGATTGCAACCTACCTCTTTGGAATTACAGTTTAGCTTTTTCGTCACACATAACAGAGCACGATGGCAACATAAATCTAGCCTCGTGACTTCCAACTAATGCAGAATGAGTGCTATTCCTTAACATGGCTAGTTAGATAAGAAATCAGAAGCGATTTTTTAGAATTATAAAATCAGGTAGGAAATTTCCCCTCTTCCTACCAATCTAATTTTCTCCTCCAAAATTGACAGATATTGACAAAGAGTTTGTTATGATTTTCAAAGGATATTAACATTTAGAAAGCTACCGTTAAGGTAATCAAAGGAATAAGTGTGGGTAAGGGCGTCCTCTCCTAGCATGCTGCTCATCGAGGCTTAGGGATTGCCTTATCATCTTTTGATGAGGTGACTTTTGTCTTCTGGGGTCTTTTAAACTTTAGAAGTCAGTAAGCTTGGTGTTAGTACGCTTGGTGTTAAGTCATGGCTAAAGAGTTGGAGGCAATGTGGGAGAAGTCCAAGTCAACGGAGGTGGAGAAAGTGGGAAAGATCCGAGTCCCATGGCCTTCTTTGTGCAGATGAGTCGACAGAGTTATACATGTTGGGTAGACTGTGATCGAAAAATAAAATAAATAAATAAATAATAAAAAGAGTAGACTAGCTTCTAACCAAAAACTTATAAGCACACATAAACCAGAACAAAATAAAGAAGTACTGCAAAATAATATGTGTGTGTGACAATTAGGAAAGTCGTTAGCCGCTATTTTGCAGTACTTCTTTATTTTGTTCTGGTTTATGTGTGCTAATAATTCTAAAGAATAAATAAAATCCTACTTATAAGCACCTTCCCCACCAATGGCGTCAAAAACTTGACGGGGCATTAATGTATACCTCTAGAGTTTCAAGTGCACAACCATCAAGTTATAATATAAAAAGTTATCGATCCAACGAGGAAGGTATTTGTAGGAGGAAATTAAAATCAGTTCTTATGTTATGTGTGTGACAATTAGAAGTGATGAATGTGATTGTGGAGAGATAGAGAGAATGAGAGTGATTGTATGTAAAAAAAATGAGATTGAGAGTGGAAAGATAAAGAGTAGATGTGATAAAGTATAAGTGTAAACAAAACTAACAAAAGGGAAGAAAGAAAGATGAAATAAATAAAATCAAGAAACAAATGAGAGAAAAATAAAAAATAAAAAGGGAAATAAAGAAAGTAAAAGATAAGAATTCAATTTGAGATATGAGGAATTTAGAATTGAACCCACTAGCTAGTTTCATGCAATTTTTAGAGTTCCCACAAGTATTAGTTCCACGTCTTAAAAAAACAATTTCTTTGAGGGTTCTAGCCTCAAGGCGAATCAAAGAAAGAAAAAAATAAAAATAAAAACTAATCCCAAGAGGGTTCTAGCCTCAAGACGAATAGTACAAAAAAATCTAAACTATTAAATAAATTGTAAGAAATAAATGTAAGAATTTAAAGCAAGAAAGTAAAGACATGAAAGTAAATCTACTCTATTAAGCATGAAAATAAATCTAAGGAAAGTCTTGGCTATTTAAACAAGAAAAGAAAGCAAAGATAAATTTATTAACAAAGGGAATATTTACATCCCAAGAGGGTTCTAGTCTCAAGGTGATGGCAAACTTTCATCTTGATCTCCATCTTCATCTCACATTCATCTTCATAATCAAACAAAGAGAAGAAAACAAAAATATGAAGATGCGAAAATACTTTTTATTAATTACAACAAAAAGTTACAATTTGAAAGGTTTTCTCAACTAAGGGTAACCATCCTCTCCAAACGGAGTTTTTTTAAAATATTTCACACTAACCCCTCACTTTCTACCCCTATTTATAGCCTACAACAATGAATGAGAATCCTTGGATTAAACTTGATTCTCAAGTTAATCAATTTTAGCCTTTAAATCGTAACTGCACATTTAGTATCGATACTGGTATCGATATATGTATTGATACTGGTATTGATACCGGTATCGATACTAGTATCAAAAATCTAACTTGGCAGATGACTTCGTCTTGTCGAGATAGGCGATTTTCATATATATATATGTTAAATTTCACCTTCTAGATTGGGAGATGTTGTTGTTTCTTTGTGGCCAACCATCTTGAATATGATTTCTTTTCATATTGAATTTTTATTTCTCCGACTTCTATAATGTACTTGGCTTGATCCCGGGCTTCAATAAAAGGTTAAATAATGAGGAAGTTAAAATATTTTGGGTTTTTATTCATTATTTCTTCATTAACATATAAATTAAGATAAAAACAATTATTAGTAGTATATTTATTCATATAAAATAGATAATGAGGGTATAAAATTATAATAAAAATATGATTATCAATTATCATAAGCATATAGAAGAAATATGGTGGTCGTTGCTTTCTTCGTCTGTGGTGCAGATAGCCAGTTGGATATGAGGCACTTACTGATCTTAGTCTGTAGTTTGTGGAGCTAATTCTAATTGTGAACGGATAAGGTATTTTCATTTATGTACATTAATCTTACTCTAACAAATATACGAGTTTCTTGTAAAAAAATTTCATAAGCTAGAGTCTAATTGTCCGTCATTTGTAACGTCCTTCCAGATGTAAGATTATGTAAGTTATGGATCGAACATATTTTCTCATGTTAATAAAAATGCATGTTATGTTGTGTGCGGCGGAAGCTTCTTAGGCGACACGAACAATAACTCAAGATAAATCACAACCACTAAGCAAATCACAATCGTAGCAAGAACAAACTATTTACGTGGTTCGGCAAGTTGCCTACGTCCACGGGGCAAGGAGGGAGAAGTTCTTACTATTAGAAATCAAGAGAATACAAATAGAATTATATATCTCACCGATCAAACACTAAAACAAAGCTCTTGATCTTTCACAAATCTCCCATAATTGGATGCAGTAATCCTCTCCAAAAGATTACTCAAAAACGTCATTGCTTAACCCTAACTAATTATAATTAGAGTTATATATCAAACAAGAAACGATCCGGGTCAAAACCAAAGCCCAGCCCAAAAACCATCCGCGGTCGACCGAACCAAAACACGAGAGCAGAATTGTTTACAGTCATGACGCGGTCGACCGCGACAGTCGACCGAATCTCATCCCAAGACCAAAAATCACCTACAGGGTACATGCGGTCGACTGTCATGGTTGACCACCTTCAGCTCCGAATCCTACTGCCCTTCTGTGCACGTTCGCGGTCGACCGCCGCTGACTCGCGACCGCTAGTCGCCTGTCTGATTCCTGTTGATTTTTCTGCACTTCTCTTGCCACTACTTCAATTCTTCACATCGGCGAATGTTTCTACCAAAACTGAACCGATACCAAATCATCCAAATATTACCACTTGTTGCATCCAGGACGTCGTGGAAACACCCCATGACAACGGACTCTATCCAAAACAAGTCCGGAATCAAAATAGAGCTGAAACACGATCTCCCCCATCGAAATCAAATCGGTTGCATCTGAAAGACTGCCTACGTATCCTCTTACCCAAAAAATCAAGCCGAACATAGTTCATCCAAATGGCCTCCAAATGCCTCAATACTGAAGAATGTTCAAAAGCTTCAAACAATGACCAAATTTTACTTCTGAAACAACTTTGGTCAACATATCTGTAGGGTTATCATTCGTGTGGACCTTCTCCAATATGACGTCTCCTTCATCCAAAACATCATGAACAAAGTGGAATTTGACATCGATGTGCTTCGTGCGCGCATGATAAACCTGGTTCTTCACCAAATAGATAGTTGACATGCTATCACAATATACTCGAATGGTCTCCTATGCGATCCCCAAGTCCTCCAATAATCCACGCAACCACAATGCCTCCTTAATAGCTTCAGTCACCGTCATATACTCTGTCTCTATAGTAGATAGAGCCACTGTAGACTGAAGTGTACATCACTAACATACAGGTGCACATGCTAATGTAAAAGCATAACCTGAAGTGGACCGGTGCTTGTCAAGATCTCCAGCATAATCTGAATCCATGTAACCAATACAATCCTGTCCATTCTTCTCATCCTTCTGGAATACCAAACCAACATCCATGGTGCCTCGAACATACCGTAGAATCCACTTCACGACCTCCCAATGACCCTTCCCAGGGTTGTGCATGTATCTCGATACCATGCTCACGGCATGTGACAAATCTGGCCTCGTACACACTATCGTATACATCAAGCTACCTACTGCACTGGCATATAGGACCTTCGACATGTAATCTTTATCCTCAACTAAAATAGGTCACATCAACGCTGAAAGCTTGAAGTGGAGAACCAATGGAGTGCTAACTGCTTTTGCATTGCTATCAAAGCTGAATTTCTTCAACATCTTCTGCAAATAGCTCTTCTGTGTAAGCTTCAAACTCCCCTTCATCCTGTCTCTCTCGATCTCCATACCCAATATCTTCTTTGCCTCTCCAAGATCCTTCATCTCGAATTCGGATGACAGCTCCTCCTTCAACTTTCAAATTGCCGAAGAATTCCTGAAAGTAATAAGCATATCGTTAATATATAAAAGTAAATATATGTGCTCACCATCGTGTAGCTTGTGCTTAAAACACATGGGTCATATGATCTCCTCGTGTACCCATGGCCAATCATAAAGCTGTCGAATCTCTTATACCACTGTCTCGGTGATTGCTTCAAACCATAAAGAGACTTCATCAGCTTGCA